GGTTTCACCGTATTAGCCAGGATGGTCTCCATCTCCTGACCTCATGATTCGCCCACCTTGGCCTTCCAAAGTGCTGGGATTACAGGCATGAGCCACCGTGCCTGGCCAATTACTATAGTTTTATAGTAAGTCTTCACATTAGGCAGTTCCTTTTTTTAAATATTTTTTAAAATTTTGTTCTTTTCCTTCAATATTGTCTATTCTGGGTCTTTTGCCTCTCCATATAAACTCGAAAATCAATTGTTTGATATCCACAAAAGAACTCCCTTGGATCTTAATTTAGTGTTGTGTTGATCTATAGATCAAGTTGGGAAAAATTGACATCTTGACAATATTGAGCCTGCTTTTTCAAAAAGCTCAATATTGTCAAGATGTCAATTCTTCCCAACTTGAAATATCCCTCCACTTATTTAGTTCTTTGATTTCTTTCATCAGAGTTTTACAGTTTTTTTTTTCCATATAGAACTTCTACATAGTGTTAGATTTATAGCCAAGTATTTCATTTTGGGGGATACTTCTATAAATAGTATTGAGTTTTTAATTTCAAATTCTAATTGTTCATTGCTGATATACAAGAAAGTGATTTTGTATATTAACCTCGTATACTACAATCTTGTTATAATTACTTAGTAGTTTCAGTTGTTTTTTTAATTCTCTCAGATTTCCTACATAGACAATCATGTCATCTCAAAGAGTTTTATTTCTTCTGTCCCAATCTGAATATCTTTTATTTCCTTTTCATATTTTACTGCATTAGCTAGAACTTCTAGTGTGATGTTGAAAAGGAGTGTTAAAGAGTGGACATGTTGAAAAGGAGTGTTAAGAGGGGCCATCCTTGCCTTGTCCCTGATCTTTGCATTAAAACGTCTTAAGTTTCTCACCATTAAGTACGATGTTAACTCTATTTTTTTTGTTTTTGTTTTGTAGATGTTCTTCAAGTTGAAGATGTTCCCTTTTTTTTTTTTTTTTTTTTTTTTTTTGGTTTGCTAAAGGCTTTTTCATGAATGGATGTTGGATTTTTGTTTTGTTTTGTTTTGTTTTTTGAGACGGAGTTTAGCTCTTGTTGCCCAGGCTGGAGTGCAATGGCGCGATCTCGGCTCACCGCAACCTCCGCCTCCTGGGTTCAGGCAATTCTCCTGCCTCAGCCTCCTGAGTAGCTGGGATTACAGGCACACGCCACCATGCCCAGCTAATTTTTAGTATTTTTAGTAGAGACGGGGTTTCACCATGTTGACCAGGATGGTCTCGATCTCTTGACCTCGTGATCCACCCGCCTCGGCCTCCCAAAGTGCTGGTATTACAGGCTTGAGCCACCGCGCCCGGCCTGGATGTTGGATTTTTAAAAAATGCTTTTTGTGTATTTATTGATATGACCACGTGATATATTTTCTTCAGCCTTTTGATGTGATGGATGGAGTACATTAATTGAGCTTTAAATGTTGAATCAGCCTTGCTGCCTAGAATAAATCCCACTTGCTTGTAGTACACAATTTTTCTCAAACATTGTTGAATTTGGTTTGCTAATGTTTTTGTTGAGAATTTTTGTTCATAAGAGATGTTGGCCTTTAGTTTTCTTTTTTTATAATCTCTCTCTGGTTTTGATACTAAGTTAATGCTGGTCTCACAGAATGAGTTAGGATGTATTCCAATCCTGTCTTCCGGAAAAAATTATACAGGATTGGTGTAATTTGTTCCTTAAATGTCTAGTAGACTTCACCAGTGAAAACATCTGAGCCTAGTGCTTTCTGTTTTGGAAGGTTATTCATTATTGATTCCATTTATTTACCAGATTATTGTTTGTTTCTTCTTGTGTAAGTTTTGGCAACTGGCAATTGTGTCTTTGAAGGCATTGGTCCCTATCACCCAGGTTTTCAAATCTGTAGGCATAGATTCATTCCTATTATATTATTATCCATTTAATGCCCATGAGATAGGTACTGTTGCTCCCTCTTTCTAGTATTAGTAATTTGTGTCTTCCCTCTTTTTTCTTAGCTTGGCTATAGGCTTCCTGATTTTATCTATCTTTTCAAAGAACCAGTTTTTCGTTTTGTTGATTTTGTCCACTAATTTCCTGTTTTCAATTTCATTAATTTCTGCTATAATTTTTTTTTCTGCTTCCTTTGGTTTTAACTTGCTCTTCTTTGTTTTCTAAGGTAGAAGCTTAGAAGATTGATTTTTAAATCTTTCTTTTCTAATTATTGTATTCAATGCTATAAATTTTCCTCTAGGCATTGCTTTGTTTCCCACAATTCTTGATAATTTTTATTTTAGTTTTTATTTCAAAATAATTTTTAATTTCTTAAGATTTCTCTCTTTCTCTTTTTGAGACAAGGTCTCACTCTGTTGCCCAGGCTGGAATGCAGTGGCACAATCGTGGTTTACTGTAGCCTTGACTTCCTGGGCTCAAGTGATCCTCCTGCCTCAGCCTTCGGATAGTTCTTCTTTGACCCATGTGTTACGTATATTCTATCAGACTTTCTATATAGATTATAGTATCTGCAAATAATGAGTTTTGCCTTTTTTGTTCTAATCCATACACCTATTTTTATGTATTAATTGGAAAATAGCGTGGTGGGATAAAAAAGATTAAAAATGCATATTAGATAATTTAAAACATAATTAAGTAAAAAGAGAAAATGGGATCTGAATTGTTTAAAAAATGTAGCATCAGCAAAATCAATGTCTGAACAAAAACGATTTTTACAGACACAAATACTAAAATATCCAAGTTGATATCTATAAACCCACTTTCTTGCGATTTCTGTCTTGACTAGTGTAGTTTCTCTTGAGTGACAGAAGGCCATTCTGAATCCTGAGACTTATAAACAACTATTTATTTGTAGCCCCCACAAAGGGATTTATCTTCCTGGTTCAGCTCTGAGCCCCACAGCTACCACAAACCACTTGTATCAGAATCACTTTGTGTGCTGGCTAAAAATAGCAGATTCCTGGCCTCCTACTAGGACATGATGAATAAGAATATATGATTAGGCTTTGATAAAGTAGTCGAGAGAGAGAGAGAGAGAGAGAGACAGAGAGAGAGAGAGAGAGAGAGAGAGAGAGAGAGAGAGAGACAGAGACAGAGAGAGAGAGAGAGAGAGAAAGAGAGAGAGAGAGAGAGAGAATCTCTGCTGGTATTACCTGTACATTCATGACCTTAACAAGATCCCCCAGTAGGCTGGGCACAGTGGCTCACACCTATAATCCCAGCATTTTGGGAGGCTGATGCAGGCAGATCACTTGAGGGCAGGAGTTCAAGACCAGTCTCGCCAACATAGTAAAACTGTCTCTACTACAAATACAAAAAGATTAGTCAGGCATGGTGGTGTGCGTTTGTAGTTCCAGCTACTCAGGAGGCTAAGGCACAAGAATCACTTGAACCTGGGAGGTGAAGGTTGCAGTGAAATGAGATCACTCCACTATACTCCAGCCTTCATCCTGGGCAACAGAGCAAGACTCTATTGCAAAAAAAAAAAAAAAAGAGAAAAGAAAAAAAAAATCCCTTTGGCTTACAACCCTGAAAATCATTATGGCAAGAGGAGAGGACAGGAAATCTGACTTCCAGAAAAAGTGCATACAAATGTCTTGCCCTGATTTCCTGGGCTAAGGAGACTAGAAGCCTGGAAGAAAAAATGACTTCCATTCTCTGTTCTTTCTTACAACTACCTTGGGATTCTCTGTGATACATATATACATGTAAGGAGAACTCTAAAATGACTGGCCCATAATTTATCTGCCTACCCAGATCAAGCCATTGTACTGGTTTGAGGATAGTTCAAAAGTCAGTCAATGCTATTTCTTTCAGTAGACAGGAGAGCTATTCTCTCATGGACATAATTACCAAAAGTTAAGCCTTGGGATTTATCAGGGACTCCTGCTACAATAAGAGAACCTGGAGAATCAGGAGAGAGATGTGAAGGTGCCAAGTCCTTGGCTGTGATTCCACAGAAGAAACATAATGACTTCAGAGCAAAGCAAAACTCCAGGCCCAGTGCTGGGTCAGTGGTTTCGTGTTTCCATTGAAGTGCTGTTAGTCTAAAAATCTCACAAGGTGTAAAGAAAAGGATTTATCAGGTAATAAACATGATTTTAAAACACACATAGAATTATAGTAACTTCTAAAAATGATAGCATTACAAATATTAGAACTGCCCCCAAAATAGTCACTTATTTAGATTTTTTTATTGTTTTAAAGCCTCTGGTACTATAGAAATAGCTTATACCTGTTATAAAACCTCCCATTTCAACATCTGGAGTCATTATTATGACTGTCATTATGATTAAATAATAAAATCTCAGTAAAACAAAATCACAAATTTAAAAATCAGGTTTTAAAAAAAAAGTTTGCTTTGAGAAAATCTTCACTGCACATTATTGAATTCATTTCTATTTGTATAAATAGTATATACAATAAATATTCATGTGTTGAAAAACCCTGTAATTCTCAATCAGCAGTCTATAAGGAGTAGAGGCTATTTTTATGTCTTTTTACAGCACACATTTCTCTTACTTTAAAATTTTAAGCATAATTGTTTTCATGTGCATAAGTATGTGTATATATTTGAGACAGTCTCACTCTGTCACTCAGGCTGGAGTGCAGTGGCATCATCACAGCTCACTGCAGTCGACTTCCTGGGCTCAAGCGATCCTCCTGCCTTAGCCTCCTAAGTAGTTAGGATTACAGGCATGTGGCACCACATGCAGCTATTTTTTTTCTGTTTTTTGTAGAGATGGGTCTCACTATGTTGTCTAGGTTGGTCTCGAATTCCTGGGCTCTAGCAATTCTCCTGCCTTGGCCTTCCAAAGTGCAGGGATTATAGGCATGAGAAACTGTGCCTAGTCCCGATTTTAATGTAAGCTATAGAAACTTGCCCCATGAAACCACCGCCTCTCACCCCAGAACACTTCACTGTGAGACTTAATGTGCCTATGAAAGGTATAGTATATCACAAATTTTAACAGGCTGCTCAAGTAGTAAATAATCACTTCTGGATCAAAAATGCATTTGGTATGTGCTTTAATTTTCATGCATGTATAAGACACTCTTTTTACTTTCTACTTTAATACTGAAGGAGGATAGAAAACTTGTAAATGAGTATTTAAAAACCTAATCCTCTTAAGAACAAAAAGCAGAATCAAATAAGTTGTTTTTCATAACCAAATACAGTGATATGCGGATTAATGATGTTTTAGTCAATGATGTACTGTATATACAATGGTGGTCTCAGAAGATTATAAAACCATATTTTTGCTGTACCTTTTCTATGTTTAGATACTTACCATTGTGTTACAATTGTCTACTGTATTCAATACAGTAAAGTATGGTACAGATTTGTACCCTAGGACCAACAGGCTATAGCCTAGGTGTGTAAGTAAGCACCATCTAGGTTTGTGGAACTATATGCTATGGTGTTTAATGACAAAATCGCCTAATGATACATTTCTCAAAACATATCTCTATCATTAAGCAACACATGACTCTATCACACTGTTAGCCAGTGCATTCTTATTCTGGTGAACTCTTATTCTTCCTTTTAAAAGAAGATTTTAAAATATAACTATTACTGTATATATGGTAACTATCTCTACTCTCTCAAGGATGGGCTCCTGAGAGTTCCAAGCCTGGATTACTGAGTTGTCCGAAGTCACAGTCAGACCAGGGATTGTTTTCCACCGATTACACAGTCCACATAGTCAGCATAGATGGAAGTAAGAGTATCAAAGCAACAGAGAGGCACAGAGAATACATTCTAAGACCATGGCAAAATAAACAAGAAATAATAATCCAATAGCTTTTCTCATTATTTTTAAAAACAAACCTAGCATAAAACTGCAAAGACATTAAATATTACTTTTAAAAATATAAAGTTATTGTTGAATTATAGCTCTCAATTAGCTCAAAATAATAGTCTTTGAACATACTATATCTGATCTTAGAATATCCACAGTCTTTAATCTCAGCTACACATTATATTTTGCTGTAAAGTACACATAAACCTGATAGCTACTTTTTACAACAGCAGAATAAAGATATGGGAGGGTCATCTTCTAATCTGAATTTTCCGGAGTTGGGTAGATCTTTGCACTCTGATATAAAAGTACGAAGTTCAGTCTCTGGGAAGCCATCTTGTTGGTAATGCTATACAGAAGAATGTTAAAAGCTCTCATTAATAAGTCCTTTGAAAACAGCTTCATTCCAAATTCAAAATGGATCATTTGGCAAGGGAGGGGGTTCTCTAGAGAGATAGTATAGTTACTTCTGAGTACCTGCAAAGAGATGTCGCCTCTGGAGTCACTCAGGTTTGGCACAGGTAAAGTGGGCCTAGGATTCTGCAGCTGCCTACCTGAGCTCTCTTTCTGGGTCTGCTGAAACCCAAATGGGCACACTGAGTCTAAGTCTGAGTCTTCCTTCCAGGGAGAACTAAGCCAGCCCCATCCCAAGTATGAGAACCTTTGTCACTACTCTGCCCTGCAGCCCTGAGACTTCAAGACCAATGTGATGCAGGCATTTTCGATGGAACCTGGTTCAGGCCACAAGAAGCCCAGCCGATCTAAATTAACAAGGTTTTCTAGCAGGCTGAGGGATGGACATCCCTGGCCTTGCCCAGAAGACCGCGGCACAGTCTTGAATGCTCCTGAGCTGGCCCAGGGTCTGAATAAAGATCTGAATGCTGTAAGGGACCTTTCCAATCTGTACACTCTTTTGGAGTCAGTCTTCCAGGAAGTTTAAGGGCCTCATATTTATATCAGTTTGGGACCTAAAATTTCTAGGACACGCCGTGACTAGAAAGGATCAGCAGTAACTTAGCTTTCCCATTTGGCAAGTGCTCTGAGCCCATGGCAAGAGGTTAACATCTAAAATACGAGTTTCAGGCTTATGTCATCAAAGGTGAAAACTCATGTTACCCTAAGAGCTCTCAGATGTCACCCTCGAATAACACATAGTTCTCTGCATGCAGAGTTGGAGGCAGTGAACTTTTACAGCACCACTGAGAGGGATTTGAAGTTACAACTCTGTTCTTTCACAGTTGTCTTGGTGACCCTAAGGACACATCTGCTGAGCAGATGAGAAAGCAAGGAGGACATTTGGTCCCTGCAATCTTGTTCAATAAGGATGAAGTCACAGCCCTGGCTTCATGAGCAAAGTATTCATCATTATCAGCTCCAAACCAAGGCCTTCTGTTTATTCCTGGGACCAACCACATGGTTTCATGTTTCTTTACCCCTCTCATACCCAGAAAATCCCTGTGTTGAAGTGTCTATGCCACAAATACACCTAACAGTATAATATTATTAATTTAAACATATATGGCTATTTATTCTGCCTTTCCATATTTCAGGGGGCTCAAACTGATTTTTAAAATATCTCATATGAATGACAATAGCTTTTCAGTTCAGGTATCTGACTGTATAAAGCTGCCTGGCTAGTACTGGACCCATTAATCCTTTTGCTATTCTAGAGGCTGGGCCCCTGGGCTTGTGCCCTGCAGGGCCTTGCAAAGAGTAACTGGCTCAGTTACAGCACAGTCCAAATGAAGGGATCAATTTTTCTTTATAAAAATTGGATTTTTTATGTTCCCACAATATTTTGGCTTTCTGAAATGCCATATGTTTTATTCACCCAATATCTACTAACCCTAATAATTCTTTTTTTTTTTTTTTTTTTTTTTTTAGTTTTTAACTCTTTGCCCCTCAGACTTTGAATTACCCTTATAATGCTAATAAAATGTTAGAAAGCTTGTGTGAAAAAGCTTAACTACCTAGAGACTAAGGCTTTTGGCATTCCGGACATTCTGTTTTTCCTCTATTTCTGTTTATCAGTCCCTAAAAATAAGGTCCTTTTTCTCTATCCTGAAGAAATTAACATTCCATCAACTTGTCTTCTACCATTAGGAACTGAATTTTACTGCGTCTCTACAAGTTATAGGACAATGCTACTACTTACGGCTCTTGATAAACCTACCTTAATGGTTTCATATGTATCAGTGATCAGTGCAATGAAAAGACTTAAAATCATATATATAAAGAGGCTGATGAATGAGTAGAGGTAAATTCTACTAAATAGCCAGACCAAGTAACTTTTCTGTTGCATTTTTGCAAATGTGGCAAACATATCATCTCCATTTATCAGAGAGAAAAGGCACTCAGAGACCATGTTCAGAGAACGAAACTGGAAAAAGAAAAAAGTTCACTTTATTCCATGTTCCTTCCCATTGGAGACTTTAGTTCATGACATTATATTAAACATAATGGGACCAGATAACCCAAGTTACCATTTTCAAACAAATAATCTAAGGGAACCACACATTTGCTTTGTGATGCATATAACACATATAAGCCTACTACTTTTTTCCCTGTGACAAGCAGCTCTCTCTTGGAGTAGCCCGAACCAAATGCAGGAGCTGGTCTGCACCCTCAGTGCTTTTCTGAATCAACATCTGCCCTTTACCTCAAAGAGACCTTGAAATGCCTGTGCAGAGATACCCAGGTCCCAACTATGCATGCTCATACATCTCATTTTAAAGTTTATTTCATTTAAAATAAGGCATAATATTCCATTCCAGACTATAGCTCTGGTAACAAAATTTCAAATATTCCTACAAGTTTCCCCCATGCTACTTTTTAAATAAAGTCACATTTTGAGAAGACTTATCTGAATAGACTGCTCTTGGATATACTGATGAATCAAATTGACTAAACTTGACTTCACTGGTAGTAAATGGGACTTAATTACCTGATACATTACAAGAAGGAACTTGAGACAGATGAGTACATCACATATTCTCTCAAGTTGGTCACACCTTGCCACTTTATAAATATGGCACTAGAGATACTACCTTCAACATTTTAAGGCTGAATCACGAAATAAAAGGAGTTGACTGAAAAAGGATGGCAAGCCACTGGCACTATACTAAAAGCTTAATAGTAATAGGGGAAAAGTTGTTTATCAGTACCTTGTCGTGGTAAGGCCCCAGCACGATCCACCCACAGAAGCAGTAGCCTAAGTAAATCATAGCTGCACAGCAGCAGAACCTGATGACATTGGGCAGTGCTGCCTGAAGGGTCAAAATGAGAAGCTGGGAAAGAGAGAGAGGCCATTAGAATCTCTTTGTCCTTTAGTCAAAGCAGTGTAATAACTCAGAGAGCAATACCAACAGCATGGAGATCTGTGGAATTCCTTACATTGTACTTTGCAAAGAAACCGAGGTATCGGATGACTCCAAGCCACACAAGCATGGTAGAGGTCCCAAGAAGTATGCTACAGACATCATAACTAGTTAGACTCTAAGACAGAGTGGAAAAATATAATCAGATTACAAAGCAGAAATTCATTCGGGCAATAAAAATTGAGGTAGCTATGAGTCAGGCACTGTTCTAGGTGCTAAGAATAAAGTAGTAAACAAACAAAATTCTTTGCTCTCATGAAGCTTACATTCTAGAAGAGGGAAGAGAGACAATATAAATGAGTTCATAGAAACTTTGGGACATCTGCTGATGAAAACTGCTGAAGAGAAAATTCAGAGGAGGGGATAAGGAATAGGTATGTTTGTCATTTTAAACACCGTAATCAGAGAAGGTCTCACTAAAAAGGAAGCATCTGAGCAAAGATCTGAAAGGAGGGAGGGAGCAAGTCAAACAAAAATCGAGGGGAGGAGCCTACCAGGCACAGGGACTGGTAAGTGGAAAGGCCCTGAGACAGGAGGGTACCCTGACAAGATAGTGCATCTAGCTGGAGTGAGCAATAGAAAGGGTATATGGTTATAGAGCTAAGGTGGCACTTACCAACTTTGTCTTTTACTCTAACTCAACTGGGGAAATTTGAGAACCACAAACAGAGGTGATATGATCAGATGTTGGCTGCTGCGGTTGAGAGCAGGTTGTTGGAGTGAGGTAGCTATTGCAATAATATAAATGAGAGATGGAAGCTTGGACCAGGCTGGTAACAGCGGAGTTGACGAGGTGATTTCGTTTTTTTTTTTTTGGGAGACAGGGCCCTAACTCTTATCACCCAGGGTGGAGTGCAGTGGCAGCTCAATGCAGCGTTGACTTCCTGGGCTCAAGCAATCCTCCCACCTCAGCCTCTCAAGTAGCTTGGGTTACAGACACATGCCACCATGCTGGCTAATGTCTTTGATTTTTTGTAGAGATGGGTCTCACTATGTTGCCCAGACTGGTCTGGAACTCCTAGGCTCAAGCCATCCTCCTGCCTCAGATTCCCAAAGTGCCGGGATTATATGAGCCACAGTGCCTGGCCAATGAAGGTAGAACAATATTTCCTCTTGGATTAGATGTGGGAGAGAGGAGATTAGTGAAAGAGAGGAGTCTATGATGAATCCATGATTTTTGGCTTGAGTAACTGATGAGAGTTGCCATTAACGAAAATTAGGAAGGCTATGAGAGAAGCAGGTTTGGTGTGCAGAGGTGGGGGCTTTAGATGTTCTGTTTTTGGTGTGTTGAATTTGAGAGAAAAAGCAGATATCCAAATGGAGATACAGACTAGACAATGGATATTCAAGTCTGGAGTTCAGGGAAGAATTCTAAGTGGGGAGTTCGAGGCTGCAGTGAGCTATAATCGCACGACTGCCCCCTAGCCTGGGCAACAAAGCAAAACCCTGTCTCTTAAAAACAAAAGTTGGGGAGGGGGGGTGGGTAGGAGAGGATCAGAATCAAAAATAACAAGATTAACTACTTTTTTGAGATCTTTTGCTAAATAAATGAGGGTAGTAAGTTAGGGGAAGGATTTAAAGTTGAGATACTATCTCTTAAGAAAAAGGACAAAAACATGCTAATGAGAATGACCTGGTAGAGAGGGGGAAACTGATGATTCCGAAGAGAAGTAAAACTAGCTGGAGCTGTACCCTTGAATAAACAAGTGGTGATGACCTCTGGTAGGCAGGTGAAGAGGTTGGCCCTGAATAGTAGCCTAAACAATACATCCACAGAAAAAAAGCACTGTATATGGGCACTGTTGCCAGGAGATAGATAAATAAGGTGGGAATGTGGAAACTCTGGGTCTTTTTCTATTATTTTTGTGAAACAGGAAGTAAGGTCATCAGCTTAGAATGAGGATAGGACAAGGGTATTGGAGGTTTCAGAAGACAGAAAAACATGATATGATCATTTATGAGGCAGCAGTGAATGGTCTAGAAAAATATAGAAAGATATTTTGGGACACCATTTAGAGTTCACTGAAATTAATGATAGTTGATGTTGGTAAAAATAAAGATTTGCTGCAAACCTCCCCTTACTCCTCTCTTTTGTTGTTTTGATTTCTTGTTTGTCCCTAAAGGTAAACATCTATTCCAATGATACATACCACAGCCACATATAGTGGCAGCTGCTAAGTGTTGACCTAAACCCATTCTCCCCTTCCTAGGCACATGCCTGGGCTGTGTACCCTGGCTCCTTCTGCAGTTAGGATTGACTAAATTCTATCCAGTGGGATATGTACAGAAATAAATTCTACCACTCTTGAGCCAAGCCATCAGTCTATGGGAGAGCTTCCACCATACTGTATTTTTGCTTCCCATAAGCTGCAACCTGTTTGAGGCAACCCAGCAATAATTATGCAGTCAGGGCAGGTCCTTCAGGGATGGCAGAGAAACAAAACTGGAGGAGCGTGGGTGCCTGAATGATTATGGGAAGTTGAGCTACTCAGCAATCCGTAAAACCCATAGAATTACATAAGAGAGAAATAAGCTCCTATCTTCTCTGAACAACTGCATTTGGGGTCTCTGCGCAGGTTTATAACCAACTCCCCAGGAGACTCAAGCAGTTGCATCAAGACTAGGGAAACAAAAGTTTGAGCAAGATTAGTTTGAACAATATTAGCTTTTTAAATTTGATTTTTGTTTTCTGGGGACAGTTGATTTTTAGGCTAGGTTAGTCTTAAAATGGATAAGCCCATAGCACATCAATGGGAAAGTAAGAAAATGGAAGTGTTCTCACTTTGAACGGATGGAGGGCACAAATGCAGGCATGCCATTTGTTTGGCATAGTGCCTTGACCTCACTTTCTCCTACAGCCCCACTCGTTTTTATTAAATATTCTAGCATTTCTTGTAAGGCTTTTTTTTTAACTCTTACATTAGTTACCTTGGTTGTGTATGAATTTTGGTGTGTGTAAGAATTCAGACCCTGCCAAAGAGTTTGAATTCAGTCAGTCTAACATGGTACACTTTTACCAGGAACCCAATGATTCTGATGCAATGGTTTGTGGATCACACTTTGAAAAACTCTGCCTAAAAGACCTCCTGACTAGATTTAAGAAAATTACCGGCCGGGCGCGGTGGCTCAAGCCTGTAATCCCAGCACTTTGGGAGGCCGAGGCGGGTAGATCACGAGGTCGAGAGATCGAGACCATCCTGGTCAACATGGTGAAACCCCGTCTCTACTAAAAATACAAAAAATTAGCTGGGCATGGTGGCACGTGCCTGTAATCCCAGCTACTCAGGAAGCTGAGGCAGGAGAATTGCCTGAACCCGGGAGGTGGAGGTTGCAGTGAGCCGAGATCGCGCCATTGCACTCCAGCCTGGGTAACAAGAGTGAAACTCCGTCTCAAAAAAAAAAAAAAAAAAAAAAAAAGAAAATTACCATTACCAATTTCAAGTCTACTTGATATACAGTTTAGAAGAAATAATTCTGAAAATTCTCAAATTCTGGAAAAGTAAATTACCATTAATACAAATCTGACACTAACAATAGCATGATTAGGAAAAAAATACCTTAGCTTGGATTTCCATTTTTAGAATTGATCCAATGATTGTTAATATGTCACTAATAATAATCATAATGTACCATCCGTTGACGAATTCCATTTGATCAGAAACAGAAACATCCTTCTTATAATGGAAGAGGAAAAAACTGACAAACTCCTTTAGGGAAAAGAGAGGAGGCATAGTGAATGTCTCTGTCAATCAAAATGTCAGTAGCATTCCTGGAAAGCAACATCCCCTACCTGCTGAAGCTGAAGTCCTCTAATCACAGATCTAATGCAGAGGATGAATGAAACCAAGCAAGTCAGAATGACAAAGGCATCAAAGATCATCATGTAATGAGTGTTCTTCTGAACTGAAAGCAAAGAGGATTACATAGTGCTTATGTGGTGGAACATTAATACAGTGACATCTTCTTTTTAGAATCATTTAAATAATTCAAGAATTCTTTCTGGTAAGACAACAAAGAAAAGAAGCCCTGATAAATGGTCTTCCAATTGGTATTTAAAGAAGGATGAAAGTCCTTCTTTTTACTACAGCTAACATTCCAATATCTTTAACTATAAGTCTATGGTCTTTTGTTCTTAATACAATTAGCTTCCCTGCATATTCTCTTTTTTTCCTGAGACCAGGTCTCTGTTGCCCAGGCTGGAGGGCAGTGGCGCCATCAAGCTAACTGCAGCCTCAGCCTCCCAGGCTGGGCAATCCTCCCACCTCAGCCTCCCTAGCAGCTGGAACTATAGGTATGTGCCACCATACCAAGCTAATTTTACATTTTTTTGTAGAGACAGGGTTTTACTTTGTTGCCAAGGCTGGTCTCAAACTCCTAGCCTCAAGTGATACTCTTACCTCAGCCTCCCAAAGTACTGAGATTACAGGCATGAGCCACCATGCCCAGGCCCACCTCCCTACATATTCTATTAAAATATACTTATCTAGGTATACAATATTTATTATGCATTCACTATGTGCCAGGCATTTTTCTAGACGTTAGGATACAGTGGTAAACAAGATAGATAAAGTCCCTCATCTTTTCAAACTTCTATTCTACCACAAAGAAGTAAACACATAACAAAATACTTTTAGATATGAGTAAGTAATATAAAGAAGATAATTACAATAGATAACATGTATTGAGCACATTTCTTGCCAGGCATAGCTCTAAATACTTTACTTGATCTTCACAGCAACTCCAGTGAGGTAAGCGTGATTATTCCCACTTTGCAGGTGAGAAATGTGAAGCACAGAGAGGTCACATGATTTCCCCACAGTTACAGGGCTAGTCAGTAGAAGAGTTGGGGTAAAATCTCTGCAGTTTGTTTCCAGCGTCTGTCACTCTATGTCAGTGGTTCTTGGCATTCCTTGGAAGCTTGTGTACATTCTCAGGTCTTACTCCAGACCCACTGAATCAGAAATCACTGAACTGGGTTTCTGCAAGCCCTCCAGGTGATGCTAAAGTCTGATAACTATTGCTCTATATGAGAGAGGTTAGTGTGGGGCAATATGGAAGAAGAGAGGTTCATTTATATTGCATAGTAAAGGAAGGCCTCAGTGAGGGAGCAGTGGGTTTTAGCTGAAACCTGAGTGACAAGAAAGAGCCATCTTTATGGAGATTTTGGAGAATAGAAAGTGTGAAGTCCTGGCCAGCATGCTGGAGCCAATGTAGAGAGATGGGCAGAGATGTCAACGATTGTACACTCTGCCACAGAGCTCGTCTCTATTTAATAAGTTAGACTGCTCTCTGCTGACAAAAAGAGAAAGTACTTAAGACTATTTCTGTCATGAAGCATCCCATTAATATCTGCCAAGGAGTAATTGCTACATAAATGTCTAAATTCACTTTAGAGAAACTTAAACATTAAGAAACAAACATCTGAGAGAATACCTAGGTGCCAGACACCTGTGTATGCTCTCATTTTTCTGATTCTGGTGTTTGTGGAGAAACATTATAACGTATACAGATGACGAGAAAGGCTTGTGTTTCAAATGTGATTCAAGAGCCTCATATATTTGAAGTTACCTATTAGTGAAAAAAAATACTATGATGGCAAAATTTCATTTTGTTTACTCTATCTCATTATGACTTTGAAACTTGGCAAATCAATTAGTAAGAAACTTTAACTGTGATTATCCACGTATAGTGTGCATAAGGACTATTTACACATTTCTAGGTCCCGCCCCAGAACTACTGGCTTACATAGAGCTGGGGAAACTGCATTGGAACAGGTACCCAGGATGATTCTTCTGCTGATTATAATCTGAGAACTACTCATCTAATGACCACTAAGTCCAGTACAATGTACCATGATGTTACTTATGAGGGACTAGAGAATTAGATGAATTCTTTCTAGGCAATTTTCTCCAGTTTAGCCCCAAAATTCTTGACAGTATTTAGTCTACACATGAATTCTTGTCTATATTTCTAAGAATAGATCCTTTCTTCTTTTAGCATACTTTTAAATGGACAGAAGACAATCATAGTATGTGGGATGCTTTGGGGTCACATCCTACCTGACTTGTCCCTGGCTTCTGAGCCTTAGTTTCTTTATTTGTAAAAATAAAGATTCTGGCTGGGCACGGTGGCTCACTCCTGTAATCCCAACACTTTGGGAGGCTGAGGTGGGTGAATCATGAGGTCAGGAGTTTGAGACCAACCTGGCCAACACAGTGAAACCCTGTCTCTACTAAAAATACAAAAATTAGCTGGGTGTGGTGGCATGCACCTGTAATCCCAGCTATTCAGGAGGCTGAGGCAGGAGAATCGTTTGAACCTGGGAGGCAGAGGTTGCAGTGAGCCATGATCACGCCACTGCACTCCAGCCTGGGCGACAGAGCTAGACTCTGTCTCAAGAAAAAAAAAAAAAAATAAGGATTCTGCCTATCTTAAGCACATTTAAAAATATTAAAATGAGGAAAATTAAGATGGAAGTAGGTATACGGTACCACTCAATAAGTACTGGTCTGGGAAGATGTATGTAGGGCTTTGGTGGCAGGGGACTATGAGTACATTCTTGCTCAGGAGTGGGCAAGTGGGGGCACAAGGAGAGAAAGCCCATTTCAGTTATTCATGACTTACCTATCGCCTGAAACATCAGAGTTGATCTATTTGTACAGATTTAGGGACTTGAAAAAGGTCTAAACTTCTATTTGCTATTCCAGATATCCAGAGGGAGATATTTTAATAACGATTTACAGTATTTAATAACCATTCTGAAAACTAGTAATGCTCATCACTTACTTGATCCAGATACATGCCAGTCTTTACATTCTCTGATGGAAATGTCATTATCTAAACTTATTTTAATTCTTCCACTATGGGCCTTGTTGTCGAATGTTATCTGTGAAGACAGGAAAGCAGTCAAAAACATACTTACAGTTTTTTGAAGCCAACATACCTGTATGTATTAATTAGGGAACAATTCTTTCAAGGGGACAGTAGACCCAGATTCTCATCTCCGATCTGTTGCTAACTCTATTCAACTATGGGAAGTTTCCTTTATTTCTCTGTGAAATGAGAAGGATGAACTAGATCTTCTGTAGAGACCCTGTAGTCTCTAAAACGTTGTATTTCTAGGACAGGATTTCCACTCCAAAAAATTTATATAACAAGGGTACTTCCTCTTGCTCTCCATTCTAAGTACTTCCAGATACTCTCTTCATATGAGCAAGAGCTGGTACAACTGTGCTTTCTCCCAAATTCTGGCAGGACCTCAGCTAGGGGTAGATTTTTAGTGCTGCTACAATTCTTACTAATACAAGGGCTCATTAATTCTTCTTTGAGACATTTCAAGTAGAGCTTTTAAAATTTTTATTCTGGGCCTAGATTTCTTAGTCACATTGGCACCACAACTGTTATAAAGGGTTTGGTGACTGGGAGTCAACAGTCATGCCTTGCTTCAAGAATAACACACTTCAGGACACCAGGGGCCAAGCAGGACAAAGCTAGGCCAGAACACCTTCTACAGTACTCCTACTGTCTTCCCCATGCAAGGACAGGGAAGGCAAGACAAGAAAATCAGTCTGTTTCATTTCTGCCTCTTCTCTCTCTCTCAAGTCCTGAAGAACAAAGAGTTCTTTGAATAGTCTGTTATTTAAATAAATTGTATTGAAGCTTCTCCATGTGAGGTAATCAGAAATACTTCAAATATAAGATTCCAAATGACTTTTAAAAGTTCAGTCACTGTATTTCTCCTCATCAGGGATTGTATGTTTCTTTCCTTGACAAGCAACTGAGGGCATAGTCAGTGTCTACCTATGTCCCTAATGGCTGCAAGACCTGGCCTATAGCCTCACGCAAGGAAGGTGCTCAGTGTTATTTGATTGAGTCAGAAATCCCTGCCAAGGAGAATCCATGCTTTTCTTACACAAACGGTCTCAGGTTTGTACAAATAATAGATGCTCACTAAATATCTATTGAGAAAGTAACAACTGTGGCTTAATGTCAATCACATCTCAGTAAGGCTCAGAAGAAGCTGAATCTTAAAGAAAAAAAAATAATGGATGGGATTAGAAAAGATTAGAGCACAGAAGAAAAATTAGTGAATTTAAAAATATAGCAACAGAAACTATCCAAAACGAACACACTGAAAAAAAACCGAAACATAAAACAAACAAACAGATAATTGATTGGCTAAGGGACAACTCCAAGTAACCAAACACAGACCTATTTGTTTCTGAATCTCTGATAAGGTGGGGGAGAGTGACAAAAATATTTGAAGAAATCATGCTGAATAAATATCAAATATAATGACAGCTAAAAAAACCACAGACCCAAGACGCTCAGTGAACCCTAAACACAGGAAACATGAAGAAAACACCAAAACATTTCACAATCATATTGCTTTAAATCAGAGATTAAAAAAATTTAAAAGCAAACAGAAGGGGTAAAACATCTTATACAGAAGAACAAACATAAAGATGAGAGCAGATTTTTCATTATAAATAAGGCAAGCTGAAAGAATAACATCTTTAAAGTGCTGAAGAAAAAAACAGTCCACCTAGAATTCTATAGCCATGGAAACGACCTTTAACAAAGGAAGGCTTGGAACAGAATAATGGTTACCAGAGGCTAGAAAGGGTATTGGGGAGGCATGGGGGATACACTGGGGTTGGTTAATGGGTATAAAGATACAGTGAGATAGAAGAAATAAAATCTAGTGTTTGCTAGCACAATAGGGCAACTATAGTTAATAATTTATTTTATATTTCTATATAAAAAAGGAGTAGATTTAGAATATTCTCAACATAAAGAAGTGATAAATGTTTGAGGTGGTGAATGTTGTCCCAATTACCCTTATTTTATCATTACACACTGAATGCTGACATCAAAATCTCACCTGTACCCCATAAATATGAATTTGTAACATTTTTATTTAAAAGATGCTAATAAAACTTCTAAAAGGAAGGTGAAATGCTTCTTTAAACATACAAAAGTTGAAATAATTCATCACCAGCAGACCTGCATTGTAAGAAATGCTAAAGGAGGCCCTTCAGGCAGAAGGAAATAATACCAGATACAAACCAGGAGCCACACACAGAATGAGGCACACTGGAAATAGTAACTACATGGGCAAATACCAAGATGTTTTTATTATTATTTCAATCACTATAAAAGATAATTGACTGTTTAAAGAAAATATATATTGTGGGTTTATAACAAATGTGGAAATACACTATAGAGCAACAATAGCACAAGGGCCAAGATGGGAGAAATGGAAGTATATTGCTGTAAGGTTCCTATACTATATGCAGTGGTATAACTTGAAGGTAAACTGTAATAAATTAAAGATGTATACTACAAACCCCAAACATGGAAACATCCATGGTGAAGAAACTATGTAACAAGAGCTCTTGGCAGTAACCTTTAGCTGACAGCCACAGACTGCTGAGAGCCAACCACATGGAAACTACAAATACCTGTTCCTCTTTTGTTTGAAAATCTACCCTATACCAGGCACTGTTCTTCATACTGGAAATAGTAGTGAACAAAACAAGGTCCCTGCTCTCCTAGAACTTACACAGAGGTGCAAAAGACATAATAAGTAAACTTGTTGTTATAACAAAATAGAGCTAGATGTATCAGTGTTTCCCTTATGCATATTCAAGTGAAAACATCCTGTATTCTTGATCACACCATATTCAAGCAAATGAAACATAACTAGATAAAACAATTTTTCTCCAGACTGGAACCAGATTCAGCCTGGCCCACACTTACAGTCAGAGTAAAGTCATAACAGTCAGGGAGCTCTTGATGACGAACTGTCTGCAGGTTAATGGCTTTCAGTTTAAACTGAAGCTCCACTGTTAGGAGTCTAGAAAACAGAGGAGATTTTAGTTCTGTGGAACTATATACATACAAATGTATTACACCCCTATCTGCTCTCCTCACCTGTGGAAGTCCAGTGTTAAGTTCAGTTTATTTTCTGCTGGTGTCCCAGTGTGAAAAGGTTCATCTGGCTCTACAAAGAAACAATCTGCCATAGAAAGGAACAAAAACATGATCTAGTACTTAAATAAACAAGACTGCATTTTGAAAGGCTGATATAGTACCAGTTATTCAGATTCTAATATTTTTTGGAATTAAAACTTTAAAAGCTAAACATTGAATACCACATGGTTACCATTACTCATTTGTTTTTAAGACCTAAGTGGCTACAACATTTCTGGAGTGGAGGCTAGACAAAGATCTGAACTCGATTTCATTGTTATATGAACGTTCTCTTCCTTTTAAAGCCTAGATAAATGTTGAGTCCCTCCCACTTTTTGCATCTTAAGCACAGGATGTGAAGCACTTGAAGTAACTACAATAAGATTTTCTAAGCAGTTTGAAGAATCTATTTTTAAACTATTCTGTGCTAACAATGTTTCTTCAATATACACCCCCACACACACCAAAAAAGGGAGAGGGCATTGGAGAAAGTTTTCACTAGTTGGTATTCTTACCAGTATTATCTCTCAAAAACAAAATCTGTTGTTAAAAGTATTTGAATACTTATTTTTTTAGTCAATGACTTAAGTTAACATTTTAGGTATAATTGCAAAATAGAATTTGCTAAGAACAATAAGCCATTCTATTCCATGTTCCGATTCTTATTCCTCCTCCTCAATCTGCCCCAAAAGGTACATGATAGTGAAGTGGTACTGGGGCAAGAGAGTTTTATATACACCAAGAGTTTGCAAGCATAATGTTTTATAAGCGTAGTATCTGTCTATTAATACTTCACTGGCATGTCCTGCACAAGAGATGGTGGAATATGGTAGCTAAGAGCACAAACAGCCTGGGCCAAATTTCAACACTGCTCTTCTAGCTCCATCTTAGGCAGATCACTTAACTCTCTGAGCCATACTTTAGTCTTCTATAAAAGCAGATAATAATAATCCTTGACTTGCTGGGTTTTCTTGAGGATTCTTGAGTTACGGTAAAGGGCTCAGAACACTACTTGACACATAAGAAATGCTACATCATTCTTACTATGACCTAATACCACAGACCAAATCAATGTTTTCAAATACAAAATTACTGATTTTAAATATAAATTGAGGCGTTAAAAATTGAGGTTCTAGGTTACAGAAGAACATCACCAGTTTCAATTTCTGGATCGATGTCAAAGGTATCATTTCCAGGGTAGATGTTTCCTCGCTTGTAGAAATGCTGACAGATTGCCATAGCAGACTGGTCGGTACCCTTGTTCTCGTAAGCATGATTCCCAAGTGAGACATTGTATAGCTGCAAGTACTTCAACCAAAACAAGAAACAGAAGATGGGAATGCTAGCCAGGGCAGAAGTGACTCCCCTCCCTCCCTACCTTTGAAACTGGCAGGTTCCCACCTTCCCCTTAGGATAGAGACATTCACCTTGATAAACAGGGTAAGTGACTTGCTGCTGTGCACTAGCAAGGCAAAGGGCACTCATAAGTTAGAGTTCTAGATTCCAGCCTCATTTCTCTGACAATCGTTCTGATCTTCTAGTTTCTTATCTGCAAAATTAGTCTGAAGCCACATAATCTTTGCGTTTCTTTCTTCCCTTAAAGAATTATGTTTAGGAACTGACTGTGACATTCAATGTAAATACACATTTTATTTATCTTTAAACTTCACCTATAAGGTCAGAGTTGTACTTTAACACTGTAGTGTAAGAAGTAGGATACAATTATCATAGGTTAGCCAGCAAAACTTTTTTTTAAGAAAGTGCTGTTTTAAACTTCATCTTTGCAAGATTATAATTTAATCACCTTTATGGCAATATTGCCTATCATAGTGAATCCTTTACATTAAAAAAATTACTTTTACAAGTGAGAATCTTATGGTGTCTTGGAGTACTGTCAACTTAAATTTTTAATGGATGTCTGCAGACATGTTTCCAAAACAAAGTGTTTTAGAGCAATACTTTTGGTATAATTGGTCATTCTGTTACTCCTGAAATTAACAACTTTGAGTGATCGACACAGAAAATAATTCTGCTAAAAGATATGTATGAAGCATGATATGACAAATGAAGAAAATAATTTCTAATATGGGATGGATTTTGAGTTGGACCTTGTCAAGGTCACCAATGAGCAGCATGTTACCAAATCTAATGCCTAGTTCTCAGTCCTCCTATAACTTAACATCTCTATGGTATCTGATGCAGTTGAATGCTCCTCCTACCTGGGATATTTTCTTTACTTGACTTCTGGGACTCTGATTGTTTCTTCATGGTCTCCTTTGCTGAATCCTCCCATTGCTAACCTCTATTTTGGCATATCTTTGGATTCAGGCCACAATCTCTATCCACATTCTCTCCACAGCTGACTTCAACCAGTCCTATGTTTCAAATACCACCTATATGCTGACAGCTTCCAAATTCGCATCTCTAGCTCTGACCTTTCCACTGAATACCATACATGGATGGCAATCTGCCTACATGATGCCTATAGTGTCTAAGAGGAATCTCTAGTAAATGTGCAAACAGAAACACCTGCTCACCTGGCTCCTTCCACAGTAATTCCCTTCTCAATAAAGTACTCTGTAAGTCAGTCAGTTGTTCAGGCCAAAACTTAGGAAAGATTCTTTTGTCAATTTCTCTTATATTCCACTTCCAGTACATCTGAAAGTCATGCATGACTTTTAAATTATCTCTGCACAAGAATCACTTAAAAATGTGAGCCTTGGCTAGGCGCGGTGGCTCATGCCTGTAATCTCAGCACTTTGGGAAGCTGAGGCAGGTGGATCACGAGGTCAGGAGATCGAGACCATCCTGGCCAACACGGTAAAACCCCATCTCTACAAAAATACAAAAATTAGCCAGGTGTGGTGGCATGCGTCTGTAGTCCTAGCTACTTAGGAGGCTGAGGCAGAAGAATTGCTTGAACCTGGGAGTCGGAGGATGCAGTGAGCTGAGATTGTACCACTGTACTCCAGTCTGGGTAACAGAATGAGACTTTGTCTCAAATCAGTCAGTCAATCAATCAATCAATCAGAGCCTCCTCACCACATATCAGACTGTCTCTCATCACCTTCATTGATATGGCCCTATTCCAAACCATCATCCTTTCTTCCCTGGACAAATTAAACCTCTGCCTCTCCAATCCTCCCTCTCACCTTCATCTAGTCTCCATCTAGAACTCATAAGATTGATATAAGGAATGAGTGAATTCATGCATGTACAGCCCTTAGAACAATGATATCCAAAATATGCCTCCTCCAGACTCTTGTTTTTGCTGTTCTTCCTACCTGGAAGGTTCTTCCTTGAGATAGACACAAGCTGCCTGCCCTCTCTTTAGTCTGCTGTCTGCTTACATGTCACCTTGTCAGAGAGACCTTCGCCAACCACCTCCAGGTAGTCACTTCGCTGGCTTTATTTTCCACAGTACTTATAACAAACTGACAGATGATGCTCTTATATACTTATTTACCGCCTGGCTCTTCCAATAAGAATATGACCTCCTTGACTTTCTTTATTTGTTCACTGCAGGACCCCTGCACACACAAAAAGAAGCCTGATACATAATAGATACTATTAAATAAATATTTGAGTGAATACATGTTAGCTTGTGCTTATGTATATTATAAGAGTCTCTCCCCTACAAAAAGCCCTTCCATGGCTTCTTGTCACTCTCAGAATAAAATTCAAAGCTCCTTTCCATGTCCTGAGGGACCTCGCCCCAGGTCCTCTGGCCCTAATTGCCCCTCATACTTGCCTCCCTCGCATTTTCTCAAACATAACAATCGCTTTCCAGCTTCAGGACCTTTGCTGTTGCCACTCCTTCAGCCTGGACTATTCTTCCCCGGATTTCAAGTCTTTAGAAAGGCCTTTTCTGACCACTCTGAGACTAGTGTTATTGCCTTACGCTGGTTTATTTTTCTTCATACCACTCATCACTACCCTAAAGCAAAAGATTTTTGTTAAACTTGTTTAAAATCGATCTCCTGCATTAGAATGCAAGTTCCAAAGGACAGGGAATTTATCAATCCACTGCTCTAACACCAGCCCTGCAGACACAGTAGGTGTTCAAATATTTGTCAAATTAATGGTGAGGTGAAAAATTATTATAATGCAATGAAGCTCTTTGTTACTAGAGCTAATCTGTGCACAGCTAGTTGGTTAACTGTTAGGATAAGATAGATGATTATGGCACCAAGCTTTCTGTTAGCATTAGGATTAGGAAAGTGAGCCAGAAATCTATGGTAATAGAAGCAAGTTCCCTAAGCTATTAAACAACATTATGTTTGGCATACAGGGGTAAAGTAGAATAATCCTGGAGATGCTCAGTTTTGAGAGTTCTGTTTTCCATTTAAGGTACCCAGTAGACTAGTGTGCCTAGAACATATGATGTGTAATGAGAGGTAAATAGGGACAGGCAAGCAGGGGTCACAAAGCGCAGTCACAGCTGTGATAGGGCACTACGACCCTCCCAGAGTCCAGGTTTAAGTGTGGGGCAGTCCCCACAGGAATCACCTAGAGGTCTGAACCTTCAGACCACAGAATCTTGTGTCTTAAACCTTTTAAGATCTTGAACTGTGAAAGATCTGAGGCCCAGGGCTGCAGGTACCTGTTAACATTATAATTATATATGCCATATAGTTACATTATATAACATATACATTAACTGTATACGCTATAGCCAGACTTCCTTGAGCTCTTCATTCAGCTCTTTGTGCAAGTCTGAGCATCTGGCAAGAACTGGGTAGTCTAGGGAAGCAGCAGGGCTGTGTTCAGTTAGAGGGCAGCCCTAGAGCCCGAGTCAGAGGGTTCTGGGACAGAAATGTGGTATGAGATGGTGGTTGGAACTAACTGTTGGAACTAACAATGGTGAGACTGCACAGAATAGCCAAGTGGTGGGGGCCTCAGTGGAGCTTTAACTACACTGGGCACCCATCCCTCCTGGTCTCTCCAGCTCTGCCTTGAGAGAAGTCATTTTCAGTCAGATCCATAGGTCCCAAGTCAGCCTTTGAGTTATAATATAGAAACACATTAAATATCCTTAGCTAAATGCTGTGGCACCAAAAGCAAGAGGTAGTAGGGAAAGGGGGTAGCAAAGAAGGGAAGCCAACCGGAAAGAGGAATTTATAAACTATGTTTGAGCTGCAAGAATGACGATTCCTGGAAGACCCTGAGGCCTTTCAACCTAAGCAACTGACCAGAAAGAAGAAACAGCCTAGGGATGGGTGGGAGGAGAATGAGAAGCCGCTCTGGATGGGCAGTGCTGAGGTGCTTGTAACGTAGGTGTCTGGCAGCATGGGAACTGCTTGGGAGTGCCCTCATCACGGTGATGGCTAAGGCTGGCTAGTGGAGAGTGTTTCTGTAGGAAAAGGAGCAAGCTTTGAGGACTGCTCAAATTTAAGAGGCACATGAAAGAAAAGGAACCAGTAAAGCTGACCCAAAAATGATTGAAAAAATAAGAGGAAAGCCAAGAGATAGCCTAAAAAGAAAATAAGTAGGTCTCTCACATTCAAATATAGAAGCATATATAATAAACAAAAAGCAGTGCTGTTACAATCACAGTATTGGATCAGAATGAGCCCTGGAGATTACCCAGTAGGATGACATCTTGGGGCTAAACCCTTTGGGATAACTAATAGTCATGAATATGTTTTTAAGAATGGAGATGCCATTGCCCAATTTGTCAGTTCTTCTCAGTAACAATCACCTCAACTATTAAGTCTCACTTGAGACCAGGAGTTTGAGCAACCTGGGCAACACAGGAAGACCCTGTCTCTATAAATTTTTTTAAATTAGCCAGGCATGGTGGTGCAGTTTATGTAACTTATTTCTATTACTTTAGATTTCTGGCTCATTTTCCCAATCCCAGTGCTAACAGAAAGACTTCATGCCATACATATGTATTTTATCCTAGCAGCTTACCATCTCACTGTGCATAGATTGTCTCTAGAAAATGAATAGCCATGATTACACTATATAATTTTCTTTAGAATTGTAATAATTTTGAAATGTGTTCTGCAAACTAACCCAGTTTGGGAATACTGACTTCCAAGATACTTTCAATGATACCTACAAATTTAAAATTTTGGGGTCCTAAGAAAGTACTTTTTATGGTAAAAATATATATTAGAAACAATAAAATACAGTATTCATCCATATGTAAAACAAGCTTGTTTTCTGTTTGGCAGTTAGTCAATGTCACAATAATATCATTGTCATGTATGACACAAAGGCCTTACTTACTTTCAAGTGAATTTTTAGGTCTTGGTTGCTGTACATACTCTGAAAAGTTAATATTCTCATTATTTGTTAAGGGGCCCTGAAAGTGTACTTTCAGCTCTGAAGACTTAATGACTACTTACACCCAGGGTCATAGTTAGTAATTTTAAATCTTCCAGATTCCCATGCCAAGCCCTAACTCTGATTCTTTTAATTAAATCTTAAAAGTTTCTGCCTTTCTGTTACTAAACAAAAGCTTTTCTCAACTTCAAGTTTTATAAAATTTTGTCGACAATATTTTTTTTTAATTTAAAAATAATTTTGCATGTGTCATTTCCAAGCAGAAATGTTCACCCTTCTCCACTTGAATGTCAGTTAATATTATGCAGATTGCCGTCATTTTTTCCAGTTGGTTTTTTCCCAACTAAATAATGCACACACTTGATTTACCTGGTTCACTGCGAAGATTATCTGATCATACACATCACTTTGTGTGTACACAGCATATGTGTCATCCATTCGGTCTATATATCCTTTTAGGAAAAGGTGTTTGAATGCCACAGTATTCTCTTCCTTGAAAGCTACCACCATCTGGTTACTTAGCCCAAATAAGACCAGCTTAAAAGAAAAAAAGAAAAGGTAAGAGGTTGGAAAATGTGGGCAGAAAAAGCAGGGCAGAAGGTACAGGGACTTGAACAGCAAATAGAAGAGTTTAAAACGAATTCTCTGGGACATCAAGGTTTTGCAGCAGGTGGATAATACACTAAGAAAGTCCAAGTCCTGTGACCAAACTATATTCCTACATTTGATCACCAAAACCCCTCAACTCATGTCTAAATTAAAGTATATTAACATAATGTGTCCTTAATAGTCATGCAGGATTGATCTCAGCGTTTTACATGAAACTCAGTTGTTCACACACACAAACTGCTGTCATGTTAACCTAAGGCCTTTCAGTTACACCTGAAAGCTTACCATACTCTAAGTCTCTCTTTTGTCTTCTCTTCCCTCCCATCCAAACCTCTCTCTCTCTCCCTCTCCCTTTCTCTCTCTCTCTCTCTTTCTTTCTCTCTCTCTCTCTCTCTCTCACACACACACACACACACACACACACACCCTACATGCTGTAAATTGAGAAACTACACTCTTTCTTAAATCCCAGAGTGAGGCAGAGTATATTTATATGGAAGGTGGGAACAATGTTGAGAACCTATATTCCATACACTACTCCAGGAACTTTCCTCATACTAATCCTGTAGTATATTCCTAATATACCAATTTTAGAGATGAGGCTCAGAGAAGTTATATACTTTTTCAAGTCACATCATTAGCCAGTGTCAATATAGTCAAAACTGAAACCCATGTCTGACAGACTAAATCTAAGTTCTAGCCACCCCATCACGCTACACAAAGTAATCCAGGGTTTGATCAGAAAAAATAGAGCAGACAAATCTTTTCCCCTCTCCAGTCCACATATGAGATACGGTCTGCACCCCACATATATAATCACCTAATCATCTCTGCACCTAACTCCCATTTCTGAAGACCCTCTTTAATTGTCCTCAATGAGATGGTATCTTGATATTCTGGGGATTTTGCATCTGTTGAAGCTGATGACCAAGCAGCCCCAAAGAATTCCCAAAGATATTCTTACCAGTCATTCAAATACATGACTACTTCTCATATGTCAGCAATGAGCTAGGGACTAAGGATACAATGAGAAGACAATTGATCCCTGCCCTCAAAGGTTGGGTGGCACACAGGATAACAATGGCTGAGAGAAAACTGCTATAATTCAGAGAGTAAGCCAGGTATTGGGAAAAGAGAAATTTTTAGTAGGCTGTCTATCATTGTAAACATCTTTCTTTTGCTGTTGCAAACACAAAATCTCCAACTTAACAGAAGAACCATCACATTTTCCCTGAGATAATCTGTTACCAATTCACCCTCATTTGCTCAATTACAAAGTTGTCTTTATCTAATATTTGTTTGATTGCTCTGATACAAATTAAGGAAACATCACAATTAAGAACCCTTCAGTTCCTTTTAAAAACTTACCTAAACACCTTTTACTTGCTTATTACTAGCCGTCTTAACATCTTAAACCATTGCCAGTTTTCTTTTGACTACTCTAGTAAACATAGGAAGGTTAGATGAGCTCCCTGAAAATTAAGAAGTAATTAAGAACATAAATCTTAGAGAAAATAAATCTGAGTTTGAATATCAGTTCTACTCTTCTAGTTCTTGACTATGACAGGGTCCTTTTCCTTACTAAGCCCCTCATTGGTTCTCATCTGTGAAATGAGGATACCACTACCTACCTCCAACTTGTTTTAAGAATTGAACATGGGCTGGGCGTGGTGGCTCACATCTATAATCCGAGCACTTTGAGAGGCCAAGGTGGGTGGATCACCTGAGGTCAGAAGTTCAAGACCAGCCTGGCCAACATGGTGAAACCTTGTCTCTAATAAAAATTAAAAATTAGCTTGGTGGTGTATGTCTCTAATCCCAGCTACTCAGGAGGCTGAGACAGGAGAATCGCCTGAACCCAGGAGGTGGAGGTTGCAGTGAGCCAAGGATGGTGCCATTGTACTCCAGCTTGGGTGACAGAGCGAGACTCCATCTTAAAAAAAAGAATTGAACATGATGACATCTATAAAATGTTTAGTCTAGTACATGGCAAACACTCAAGTGGTACCTATTGTTAATCTTCATGTTCAACTGATACAGGCTTTTCCTCCTTATAAGAAACAGTACACAAAAACTTTTCACTATTGTGACACATTGTATTATCACTCAGAAGTTAAGAATTTCAATTTCAACTTGCCAAATATTTGGTTGAGAATTGAATATTCATTTTCAGGGTGATATGACAGACAGAATGTCTGCCTTCAAGGTCTTGACATTGCCACTGACTAGCCATGCAACTTTTTTTTTTTTTTTTTTTTGAGACAGGGTCTTGCTCCTTCACCCATGCTGGAACTCAATGGTGTGATCACCACACCTAGCTAATTTCTGTATTTTTTGCAGAGACAGGTTTTCATCATGTTGCCGAGGCTGGTCTGGAACTCCTGAGCTCAAGCGATCCACCTGCCTCAGAATCCCAAAGTGCTAAGATTATAAGCATCAGCCACCCTATCTGGCCAAGCCATGTAACTTTAAAAGAGCTCTAGAAATATCAGTTTCCTCTTCTGTAAAATAAGCCAGTAAGAATGTTAGAATTACATGAAATAATGTACTGGAACAGGGTAGTCACCAAATTTTTGTTTCCCTGGAAACAGCAACTAGCTTTGGAAACAAGTAAGAATTCTACCAACTTCATAAGACTGTAGAAATTGCCTTGGTTCTCTAATAATCATTAGCATTTGTTCTCAATAAGCATTTAAAATTGGTAATATCCTGGTTTTTAAATCTCTCCTTCAATACCAATTGTTTATGTACTTAGGCATTTTTCACCAACTTAAGGAGAGTAAGTAATAATAAAAATAAACCTATCATATCTACTTTGCTCATTAAAATCTGCTTTTATTTTGCCCTTTTGCTTTTAGCAAGAGATAATTACTCTCACCAACAGGAAAACATATTTTCACAAGAATAAATCACAGCCAGTATATATAAGCAATCAGAAAATATAGATCCCCCTCCTCCCCCCAAAAAATGTTAAAAGCAGCCAAGGAAATGAGATTCAAAAGCTCCCTTTGAACTAAAAAGAGGTCCTGTGTTTCACTAGCTCCTGACACTCCTCTTCTGTTAGTTAACTCCACATTCTTCCACTGCATAGTTCTCATGATCACAGGGCTGTGAAAATCTAAGAATTTGCCTGTAGTAGGAAGCCTTGAAGTTTCTGAAGAGGGAAATTCTCAGGCAACTAACTAGGAAGGAAAAGAAAGTCCTAATGTTGGACAACACTAGTTTCCATGGCTTATTTAGAAACCAGCTGAACCTCTTCATTGGAAGCCAAATATTAGTTTTCTTTTCCTGAAAACTAATTAGATTATGTAACTAAAATGATAACTTAGCGAAAGATGAGAAGAAAAAAAAGTGAGAAAAAAGAAGCCAAACTTTTTCACAAATGTTGAAGACAGAAGTGTCTAAGATTGTATGCTTTCTTATCTGTTATTGCTCTACATTATGCATATGTATGCATATAGTTAAAAGTTATAAACAACAACAACAACAACAACAACCCACTGTCCATAGTTCTCTTTGTTATTAAAAGAGGCTTTCACCAAACTCATGATCTGAGATGCTTACCTGGATAGTCACCATTGCAATTTTTAGAATTTGTATGGCAAGTTTCCATGGTTTTCTACCTCGAGCCCAGAACTTCTCACAAGGATTCATAAAAAAAAATTTGAGTTTTCGCCTCATCTGATCTTCTAATAGAAGCTCCTCAGATGGAGATGTATGCTGGTTAAAATTGCAGCGATTTTCCTCTTCATGAGAGCTGCAGCTACTTATAACTACCTCAGGATTTGCCATCTCTAGGGAGGAAAAACAACCACCACCAACATTTCCATTTAGTGAATAAAGACACAAGTCCATATTCTTTGCTGTTGTAGGAGGAAGCTCAAATAAAAGTTCTGGTTTCAAATAAGCACCATTGCTTTAAACTGTATTTTAGATGTTTACAGAATCAGCTCTGATGTTAGACATTACTTTACTATTTGTTTTAATTATGAAGTGAATTTTCACCTAGTTAATAATTACCAAATTCAGGGGCTGCTTCTATTAGTAAAAGATTATATGTACATATATACCAGATGTATATATTTTCTGCCTCACTCAGTATAGTTAGAGCAGGATCAGAGATCTGAGGGCCTGAAGAAGGACTTCAGAGGGTAGGTGGACCCTGAAATTGTATGCAAACTTTCATATATGTGGCTGTGGATACTTTTTCCTGTAAAGTAACTAAAACTTTCAGATTATCAAAAAATGTTTCAAACCACCGAGTTAGAGATAGCAGGGTGTAGTATAAAGAACCAAGACACAGTTTGGTTTCTAATTCTGGTTCTATGACTTGACATTTCTGCAATCTCAGAGAAATCACTTAGCCCTTCTGAGCCTCAGTTTCCTCTCTGGCAAAATGGGAATAACACCACCTACCCTTCTATGATTGTAGCCAGAATTAAATACCTATGACTGTAGTGAGCATTAAATGAAACAGCAAACACAGCCTTTGCATAGAGTCTAGCGCTAAGCAGACTCACCTACCTAACACCCACAGCAGACAGAGCAGATTCCTAGAAAGCCAATAAATAAGGTCCTTAAAGGGCAGCATGAACCTCAGGAAACATAATTGTTTTACAAAGGGAAAAGCAGGCACTCAATTTAAGCCTAATTCCCAATCTGTGGCATCACTTGTAACGGCTTCTTATTGAAGCCCTTATATTTATAGCATATTTTCAAAGTACTTCATACCTGTTTTGGGGAAGGGGTGCATTTGAAAAGAGTTGGGCTGGTTTCATTGCCTTCAGAACCAGCTTTTTCAAAGCGACGGAAAGTCACTCCAGAGACTGGAATGGAGCTTGGGTTTTCCCTAAGACTAAGACTGATATTATACTATGGAAATCTGTTTAAAATAAAATACTGTAAACCATCATTGGTGAGTAGGGTCCTTCCATACAGAATAGAAAGGCAGGCATTATTTGACATTTTAATAATAACTTGTACTTGGCAATGAAGGAGGAAAATTGTAACCTGCATTCATACAATATCTGACAAGTCACTGATTAGATATCCTGCTGCTTTCCAAGTCTAGAATCCCACTTTTGATTCCAATTCAAACATTCTTAGCAAGCCCAACGTCTCCGAACAGTAGATATTGGCTATAAAAACAGCCATGGGGAAGGTTTTTAAACTCTTGATTAATGAAAAGATTAATAAGGATACTGCAGAATGAATGAAACATAAAACATATTTACTGTATAGCATACACAGTACCTTCAAAATGAAAGAATTATAACTCATTAAAGTATGGCTCATATATGTGTGTGATAAAATGCCTGTCAAAGCATAAATGCAGTAATTCTTAAAGTCATAAAGGAAAGAAAAAGTTATTAATATATTAGGATTTTCATTCAACAGTTTTTTTTCCTTCAGAAAGGCAGATATTTTAAACAGCATTTAAGGAGACTTCATCTATGGGACTTAAAACGCAGATGATTTCATGTTGACCGAAGCTTGCATATGAACACTAACATAACGACGAAACTGTTAATAAGTATGTTCAGCTGTGATAGCATAAAAAAAAACAACAACCATGTTGATGAGTTTTATATTGACATTAAGCCCTTTCCACTTTGATACAGGGAAAATTAAATTTTAAACACACTAGCCACACACCATGTAACAGTAACCCACAGGAACAAAGAGAAAATAAGCCAACCAGCATTAATCTATTCAGCACATCACAACGAGTTGTCCTGGAAGCAAGATGTTTCGTTCACCAGGACCGGCAGCTGACTTTGTAAACGTTTAGCTTTACCGAGTCTGAAAAGCCCTTCCGAGGGTGTACTCTAAAAACTGCAAACGGTCGGGGACCCCAACAGCTGAAGGAGGTATTCATAGCCACCCTTCACATTCACCCGGAGCGCCAGCGCGGGAGGCAGGGGTGGGCGAACGGCCCCGTCAGGAGAGGCGACCCGACGAAGGGGCCATCCTGAGAGGCTACTGAGGTAGCAGGCATGCTCTTAGAAGGAGCCAGCGGACACACACAGGTTACCTATTCCTGGCGGGCAGAGGCTTGATTAAAGTGAGCTGTAGAAAATTAGGAAAAGCCCCGGAGTGTGTATACATATAGTAAAGGCCTCACAGTTGGCGAGAAAGTTATGCAACCTAGTTTTTTCAGATGCGCTTTCGCACTTCACCAGACAAAACTGGTCTCTCCGGTCTTTCTTTCCTTTCTTTTCTTCCCTTTCTTTCCTTCTTTCTCTTTTTTTTAAGCGTTGAGACTTTTGTCGGGTAGTCCGCGCCAGAAAGTGCCGGAGGGTTACAGCGATGTCCCAAAGCGGTCGCTGCCATCCCCGGGCACTGCCCTTGAGCTCAGACGGCCGCAGCCCACCTGGCGGCTGCTTTCAGCCAGCGCAGGGACCCGGGCCTGAGCCCTCACTTCCAGCCGCCCCCACCTCTAACAAGGGGACAGTCCGCCTTGAGAGGGGCCGCCCGAGCCGCGTTAGGACCATCTTGAGACCCGGCCGGCATCCAAGACTTCCAGCGCAGGAGCTCAGGGCCGGGGTGGCTTCCAGCCCTCAGAGCCAGGACCGCAGGCTCCCTTGGGCAGCGGCCCGGAGGGTGACCAAGGAGCAGAGCCCCCCACCCGCCCAGCCCCGCGCTGGCCCCGCAGGTGTGCGCCTCCACTGACCTAATGCGCGCGGCGCGCGGACGGCGCGGAACAGCTGCATCTCGCTCCCAGCTCCCGCCCGCTCGCCCTCCATGGCGCCGACTGCCCGGCCCGAGCTTCCCGCCGCGTCCCAGACAGCTCGCTGCCTCCGGGCCTCCCCGACCCTCCCTGCGCGCTGCCGGCGTAGTTTCCCGCGACATCCGACGCCCCGGGGCGGCGCCCGGCGGGCTCACCTGGGGGACAGCGAGGAGTGGCCGCGCTGCGGTGTCCTCGGCGAGGGCGCAGGGCGAGTTAGCGCACGGCTCCAGCAATCTCGAGCCCCGCTACGCGCTGGGTCAGACGCGAGGACTAGCGCCCCGACCGCTGCCCGCCCTTCCTCCGCCCCCGCCGCTTTAACTCGTGACCCTCCTCCTGGCTCTGGTTCCCGCCGCGCCCTGTCGGGGGCCGCCTTTCAAGAGCACAGGTAGGGAGCAGGAGCCCGTCGGAAAGAAGCTGGCGTTTAGCCCGTTCTCTGCCATCCTCACCCCATCACGATCCTCATTTTCTCCGTGAGCAACCCGCACCGCCCTGCTGGGGCTTCCCGGCTTTGCTCAGGAGCTGCAGCTGGCGCGCCGGGGCCACCCCTCCTGGCCAAGGCCCCTCAGGTGGTTGCCGGGCTCCGCAGGTCCGGATGTCCAGCGCCTAGCACCGGTGAGTGTGAGGCCCGGCTGCAGCCTCGCATTCTGATTTTTGCAAACAAGGGGAAATCTTTAATGTCTTACCGTTTCAAGCCTGAACCTTGTTCCCTCCTTGGGTCTTCTAGTTTCAAACAAGTGCTGTGAAATGAGTGAATGAGTCCACTAGATTCTTCTGTAGATTGGGGGCTGGAGCAGAAACAGCCTTGGAAAGCTTTTCCAAGAAATGTAAATAGAAATACTTGAAGTAGACTTTGAACCATAATCTTTTTCTTCATAAATTCTTTTTAAATATTAAACCTTAATACCCCTTATCAGGAATGGATCAGGAACTTTGGTTAATTTTAATTACTTTGGATTTGTTCTGATTTTTAATTTTTACTTACTTTTTTTTTTTTTTGGCCACGGGTAAGTTGGTAAAGGTCACTGAATTTCCCTACTAGAGTATTCCTGAAATGAGGTCAATACCTGTCAAACCTTTTATAAAACCTGTTTTCAAATCCTAAACCAGTTTGCATGGATTACTTATAAATGGAAATATATATTTTGCAACAGGATACAGTAATTTTATGCTGTTCATTAACCTGGATCCCACATACCGTGAGCAAGGTACATACCCAAAAAGGATATAATCGGCACAGTCAATTCTCAAGTGCAATTTGGAAAATATAAGGTAATCTTTAATCCCCATAATCCTACACACAACGTAATGCTATCTCTTTACTTGATGGTAAGAGTTTGAAATGCTTGATTGTTCAGGAACAATCTGAACTTTGGAGAAGTTCACAGTCATAAATGATAGCCCTTGCTTAACCCTTGTTTTAGCTGAGTTATGAAGACGGGTCAATAGAAAAAAAAAAAAAAACAGGTTTTGGAAGTCAGACAGATAAGGACCCAAATTCCCTTCTGTGCCACTTGCTGGATAACTAGGGAGTTACTTACAGGGGGACAATCTGCCTTGAAAGGGGCCGCCCGAGTTACTTAACTCTAGGGAGTCACTTACCTTCTCTTAATCCCGTTTACTGTTATGTACAAACTAGCTATAAAAGGAATGGTGATTTTTAATTAATATGTTGCACGTAGAGCACTCATTACTGTAACAGGCATATGTGATGTGCTTATACATGCTGATTCCCCCTTTTTATTGAAAGACCTAAATGAACGAAAACATCAACTATGTTCATAAATTACAAGACTTGATATTAAGATGTCAGTTTTCACCAAGTTCATGTATAGACTCAACCCAACCTCAATGAAAATTTCAACAAAATGTCTAAAGAAATTTCAACCTGATTCTAAAATTCCTATGGAAGCAAATGTAAAGAATCCAGACTAACCAAAGCCATTTTTTTAAAGAAAGGTAAAACCAGAGGATTTATCCTACCTATAGCTATAAAGCTATATAAGCCAGACAACTTGGTACTGATGAAGACAGATATATAGGCTGCATATAGACAATGGAACAAAATAGAATCCAGAAATAGATTCACACATATATGGTCAATTGACTTCTGACAAGATGTTAAAACAATGTAAAGGAGAATATTAAAGTTTAACAATCAACATAATGATGTTACTGGCTTAAAGGAATATACTGACACCAAGTCAAAAGAAACACAGGAAACACTGACATCAAAGGTTTACATAAACATTTCTGGAAAGCAGGAGAGGAGTGCCTAAAAGAGAAGCAGTTGAGATCTAATCAGTCAATCTTGCTTTTATCTCTTACAATGTTGTAAGTGTTTCTGGACTTGTCAGTAAGTCATTCTTGCAAATAAACATTAATACATTTATATGAATATATTGTGCTAATCTTTAACAGTATTGCAAGAAATAAGTGTTGGAAGAAAAAAAAAAGGCCCTACATTGGTGATTTCAACATATGATTCTTTTTCTTTTTTCTTTTTTTTAAAGACAGCATCTAGCTCTGTTGGGCAGGCTGGAGTGCAGTGGTACGATCTCAGCTCACTACAACCTCCACCTCCTGGGTTCAAGCGATTCTCCTGCCTCAGCCTGCTGTGTAGCTGAGGTGCATGCCCCCAAGCCCAACTAATTTTTGCATTTTTAGTAGAGACACTCGGCCTCCCAAAGTGCTGGGATTATAGGCATGAGCCACCGTACCCAGCCTCACATAACATATGATTCTATGTAGTGCTTTTGATGTTGCTAGAATATCCAAATGGTATATTACTATTGTAACACATTTTGGTAGACAACCAACTACCTATACAACACCTCTCATAAGATTATAACAGAGTTGAAAAACTCCCATCACCTAATGATGTAATAATGTCACCATGATGACGTTGTAGAGCAATGTGTTATTTACTTATCTATCTTTTGGAGATGCTGGTGTAAATAAGTCTACTGTACTGCCAGTCTATAAGAGTGTAGCATGTACAGTTATGTGCAGTACATAATACTTGACAATGATAATAACCAACCATGTGGCTGTCTTACGTATTTACTATTATAATTATTGTAGAGTATGCTTCTACTTGAAAGAAAAAAAAGCTAGCTGTCAAATAGCCTTAAAAGAAGTATTCCAGAAGAAGACAATGTTATCATAGGAAATGACAGTTCCATGCCTGTTATTGCCCCGGACATCTTCTAGTGAGGTAAGATGTAGAGGTACAAGACAGTGATATTGTTAATCCTGACCCTGGGTAAGCCTAGGCTAATATGTGTGTTTGTGTCTTAGTTTTTAACAACAACAAAAAAAGTTTAAAAAAACTAAAAAATAGCAAAAAGCTTGTAGAATAAGGATATAAATAAAATATTTTTGTATAGCTGTACAATGTGTTTCTGTTTTCAGCTGTGTTATTACAACAGAAAGTTTAAAAATGTTAAAAGTTCATACCATTTCCATTGTGCAATGAAAAATAAATGAATAAATAATTTAAAATTTTAAGCCAGGAAAGGTGGCTCACGCCTGTTAATCCCAGCACTTGAGAGGCCAAGGCGGACAGACTGCTTGAGTCCAGGAGTTCAAGACCAGCCTGAGCAACACTGGGAGACCCCATCTCTACAACATTTAAAAAAATTAGTCAGGGATGATGGCATGTGCCTGTAGGCCTAGCTACTCTGGAGGCTGGGGTGAGAGAATCACTGTGCCCAGGAGGTAGAGGCTGCAGTGAGCTATGATTGTGCCACTGAACTCTAGCCTGGGCAACAGACCAAGACCCTGTTGTAAGGTATATTGCTGAGTTGAAATGAGGAAACTGAGGCTAGTATATGAAAATGAAAATTTAATTTATTTAGCTTTCAGGTGAGGTTCTATGGTCCGGGATGGGGCCAGAGAAGTCGCACTTAGCTTTTTAGGGCAGAGGGTTTTATAGGGGTTAGAGGCAATTGATTAGATATTGGGGAAACAAAGCATAGGCAATTTTATTAGGTGTAGGGAGACAGGGCCTGGACAGGGGGAGCTACTATAGGTAGGGAGGTGGGACTTATTGGGGGTGGGCTGGCTAAGGACGTATGGAGCAAGCTGCCATTGGGTAAGGCATGGCGGGATTTTTTTTTAATTTTGGCGGGTTTAAATGCATAGTTTAGTGCTGAGAGTGCATAGTCCAGTGCTGGATATAGATCTGGAAGCAGAATGCAGAAGTGGGTGAGGGGAGCCCCCATGGAGAAGCCAGATGCTGAGTAAGGCGTCCGGAATGATAACGCTGTTATCAGACATAAAGAGGGGTGGGTGTTGTCCATCCGGCTCCCAGCGAGGCAACCGGCCTTGCACCTATCTCAAAAATAAATAAATAAATAAAAGTTTATAGGCCGGGCGCGGTGGCTCAAGCCTGTAATCCCAGCACTTTGGGAGGCCGAGGCGGGTGGATCACAAGGTCGAGAGATCGAGACCATCCTGGTCAACATGGTGAAACCCCGTCTCTACTAAAAATACAAAAAATTAGCTGGGCATGGTGGTGCGTGCCTGTAATCCCAGCTACTCAGGAGGCTGGGGCAGGAGAATTGCTTGAACCCAGGAGGCGGAGGTTGCGGTGAGCCGAGATCGCGCCATTGCACTCCAGCCTGGGTAACAAGAGCGAAACTCCGTCTCAAAAAAAAAAAAAAAAAAAAAAAAAAGTTTATAAAGTAAAAAACTTACAATAAGCTAAGATTAATTTATTATTAAAGAAAGAAAAATGTTTAAACTAAATTTAGCGTAGTGTTAAGTATACGTGTTTATAGTTTACGGTAGTGTAATGACCTAGGCCTTTACATTCACTCATTGCTTACCTACTGACTCGCCCAGAGCAACTTCCAGTCCTGCAAGCTTCATTCATGGTAAATTCCCTATACAGCTGTACCATTTTTAATCTTTTATATCTTATTTTGACTGTACCTTTTTTGTATTTAGACATGTTTACATACACAAATACTTAACACTGTGTTCCAGATGCCTATAGTATTCAGTACAGCAGCCTACTGTACAGGTTTGCAGCCTGGGAATAATAAGCTATGCCATATAGCCTAGGTGTAAAGAAAGCTATCCCATCTAGGTTTGTGTAAGTACACTCTTATCATGTTCATACAATGACAAAATTACCTAACAATGCATGTGTTAGGATGTATCCCCCTCATTAAGCTATGCATGACTGTATTTGAATACTCAGTCTTGTTTTCTGCATTTTCTAGAGTTTGAATATTCACTAAAGGTATAGTTCTT